TACACTGACCCATGATCCCAAAACAACAGGACTCTCACACATCATATCCACAGTTACAATACTAAGCACACATAACAAAGAATGTGTGTATTGGAAGTTGTAAAGGCAAAAACAAGTCACATATAAAAGAAAAGCCATTAGAGTAACAACTGATTTCCCAGTGAAAACTTTGAAAGCCAGAAGACCCTGCAGCAATGTATTTCAAGTCCTAAAAGACTATTATAGCCAAGCTAGAACAATATACCTAGCAAAACTATCTGCCACAATTGAAAGTGAAAGAAAAATTTACCAAGACATAAACAGCCTAAACAAAATGTATATCCAACAAACCAAACAAAGAAAATACAGAAAGCATTATTTCAGGTTGAAGACTGGAACAAGTACATCAAAGAAACTGCGGAAAGAAATACAAAGCCATAATTATTAAAACACAAAATACCACCAAAAATACAAAAAAAATGCCACCAAAAATCAACAATACAGTGACTACAATTAACTCACACATTTCAAATGCCAGGCAACAGTGGCATTTGGGAGGCTCTTGGGAAGCAGAGGCTGACAGGCAGATCTCTGAATTCAAGGCAAGCCTTGTCTACAGAGCACAGCCAGGCAGAGCTACACAGAGAAATCCTGTCTGGAAAAAAACAAAACACATGCACCCATGCACTCACCCATGCACTCACTTCAATAATAACTTTAAAAATCAATGCCCTCAACTCTCCAGCCAAAAGACACAAACTGACTGAATGGATCAAGGAACAAAATCCATCTGGTGCCTACAAGAAACACATCTTAGTTTAAAGATAGGTACAATCTTAGAGTAAAAGGATGTACACAAGTACTCCAATCAAAGTAGACTAGGAATCAAGTACTGCCATCCTAATATCTGATAAAATAGACTTCAACTGAAACTAGCCAGACAACATCAAAAGGGACATATATATATATATATATATATATATATATATATATATATATATATACACACCAAACTCCAGGGTGCCCAGTTTCACTTTTTAAAAAAAAATCTAGCTCTGGATTTAAAGAAACAGATTAACTTCAACCCATTAACAACAGGCAATTTCAATGCCCTACATTCACCAATAGATGGGTCATCTGAACAAAAAATAAACAGAGAAACATCAGAAATAACTAATATCATATATCAAATGAACTTAATATTTACAGAATATTACACCCAAAACCAAACAATACACATTCTACTCAGTGGCACACAGAAGCTTTTCTAAAAATAGATGACATCCTGGGATACAATAAGAGATCTTTACAAACTCAAATAAATAAATAGATAGATAAATAAATAAATCACTCTTTGTATCCTGACTATAATGCAATAAATTTTAAATTGACAGCAAAAAATCTCTAGTAAATATATAAACTCATAGGGATGAAACAACTCATTAACGAATGATGAAAGTATAAAAGAAAAAAAGCAAAAAAGAGACACTTACTAGAACTAGATGAAAATAAAACAAAAGACAATAAAACCTCTGGGACACAAGAAAGCAGTCAGTCTAATGAGGGAAATTTATAGCTCTAAATGCCTACATTAAAGAAAATCAGAAGAAGCACAGCTAAATGACTAATTATGCAATCCAATAAGTTGGAAAAACAAACATAAACCAAATCCAAACACAGCCAATATCAAGAAATAATAAAAAACAGAACAGAAGTCAATGAAATAGAAACAGCCGCAAACCAATACAAAGAATCAAGTCATCTAAGAGCTGGTTATTTTGAAAGAGTAAATAATATTGACAGATCCTTGGCCCACCTAACCAAAAGAAAGCCAGAACCCAAATTAACAAAATAAAAAATTAATAGAGAAACATTACAAATGACACCAAGAAATTCATACTATCATAATATTCTAAAGACCTGCAAAAACCAAAAAATCAGATGAATTTCTAGATTCAGGCAAATCACCAAAATTAAGCTAAGAAGTCAACAATTTAAAGACACATAACAAATGAGGAAATTGAAATAGTAATAAAAAGTCTTCCAGCCAAAAAAATGTCAGAGTCAGACAGATTTTCAGCAGAATTTTAGCAGACATTCAAAGAACAGTCCCAAAGAACCAGTCCTTAAACTACTCAGAAAGAAATAACAACAGAAAGACAGAGAAACAGACAACAGTCCTTCTACAAAGGCAGTAACATTCTACTAACCAAAGCAGGTAAAGATGAAACAGTGAAGGACAAAGAGAAGAGGAAGAGGAGGAGGGAGGAAGGGAGGGAGGCTAAAGACCAATATCCCCCATGAAAACAGACTCAAAAATATACAATAAAATACTTTAAACAGAATATGGACATGCATCAAAAAGATTATACATCATTACCAGTTGTCTTTATCCCTGAAATACAGGGATGGTTCAATATTAAATGCAATAAACAATATAAAAAAATCACATGACCTCAGTAGATAGAAAAAAGTGTTTGACAAAATCCAAAATGCTATCATGATAAAAGTTCTAGAGAAGGTAGGGCTAGAAAGAAATACAAATATATTTTACTGTGTTGCTCAAGCTAGTACTTGAGCAACAATGCAAGAGAAAGCAATTAAAAGAAAACAAGCAGAGAAAGAAGTCCTTAAACTATCCCTATTTACAAATGATATGATACTATAGAGATCCCCAAAATTCTAAGAGAACCCTAGAAAACAAATTCAGAAACACAGCAGGATACAAACATCAACTTCTACATTCCTATTCACAATATACTCAAAGAAAATAAAATACCTAGGAATAAATCTAACCAAGGAAGTGAAGGACCTCTGCAATGAAAACTTTGAACCTTTGAAGAGATAAAATACACTTAAAAAAAAAAAAGGAAAGACTTCCCATGTTCCTGGATCAGGATTAATAGTGTGAAAATAACCTTTTTACCAAAAGCTATTTACAGATTCAACCAAATCCCAATCAAAATCCCCATCTCATTCTTCACAGAAATAGAAAAAAATACATCTTCAAGTTCATATGGAATCACAAATGATCCCAGAGAGCTAAAACCTAAGCAAAAAAGATATATTACACAGCTATAGTAATAAAATCATTATGCACTGCTACAAAAACAAACATAGAAGAACCAAACATTGAGTACACATAATTTCATCCACTTAATATTTTACAAAGATACCAAAGCATATACTGGAGAAAAGAACGCATCTTCAACAAATGGTGCTGGGATACCTGGGTGTCCACATGCAGAAGAATGACATTAGAACTGTATCTCTCACCCAGTAGGTGGTAGAAACTGGACCCACACCCTCCAGAAGAGTGGCCACTGCTCTCAACTGCTGAACCATCTATTCAATATCGAGTCAGTATCTTGAGATGATTATACTCGTGTTAGCCTTTTAAGTTTCTGAGTCAAAAGTAAAGGCAGAAGACAAGCCCAGCCATGGACTAGTAAGATAAGTTACACAAGGTATAGGAGAGGACCTCTTCAGAGACTGTGAGAATGTCTGTCCACCAGGTTACGGGCAGATTTTTGTGGCTGGTGTCCACATCAGAGAGGAGGGAGGGAGGGAGAGAGGGAGGGAAGGCAGAGAGAGAGAGAAAGACAGAGAGAGAGAGTTGCAAAAGAAAAAAAGCTACCTTCCTGAGACCTCAGAAAACCTGGAAGCTTACCACTAAGAGTCTGCTAAGGTAGGGAGAGATGAATACATTTCATTAAGGCAGTTATTTAGCTATTTAGTTAGTTATGCTTGGAGGTAGGGTCTTGTGTAGCCCAGGCTGCCCTCAAACTCACTGTGTCCTGAGCATGACTTTGAACTTCCCACCCTTAGGTCTCCACCTTCCAATGCTAGAATTAACTACACAGACCACCAAATGGGTTTGGCAAGCACCCTACTGTGCTATAGCCCAGGTTCCTCCCACCTTAGGTCTTATGTTTCTTTCTGCCTCTTGGCTCCAGGTTCATCTCTTCAGGTTGCAAAGCAAAATTTCCTCCTAAGCATAGGAGGTCTTAGCCTGGCTTGTGCAGGTGAAGTTACTGCTATCTTCATCAAACCACTGAGTCATTGCAAAGGGATTACCATGGCATTTGTAGCATTGACAACATATTTGTATTCAAGTCTCAAAAGGGTTTCCTGCTTTGGTAGACATCTGCTCTCTGTATCGGAAAGGCTCTTAACTGACCACAAGCATGCAATTTTTATCAGAGAAAACTAACAGATATGTGTTATGTCCCAAATAGTGTCTGAAGACAGTCTGTGGTGGTGCATGCCCTTAAATCCCAGCACTCTGGAGGCAGAGGCAGGTGGATCTCTGAATTCTAGGACAGCCAGGGCTACACAGAGAAACCGTGTCTTGAAAAACCACAACTCTATTATAAACAGTGCTTGAAAAGCAGCTGGTGGGAAATGGCCTTCATCCTCCTGTTCCCTGCCTATCATTCCCTATCACTGCGGGAGTCCACGAAAACCCAAAAGTCTGTGCGTGTCCCCTGTTGACTAATGTCTTCAAGTAGGATTGCAGTCCTTAGGTTTTTGTGGGTTTTTTTTAGTCGTTTGTTTTGTAGAGTTTCGTGTCATAGCGCCTTGGCTGCTGTGGGTGCCAAACAAACATGACAATAAATACTTAACAAGATCTATTCCAGCACAGGCCCGAAACAATGCACAAATGAAAATTCCACTTGTCTAGGAAGCAAGTCAGGGAGGACAGCCAGTGGCCGAAAACCAACGTTAATGGCGAAAGGCCGTCCCAGGAACCTCCAACTAACTGTGTATAAAAGGCGGCTAAGGCAGAGGTCTCAGTGACCGGCCACCCTCCTGCGGCCATGGTCCGACCAAAGCCGACTTAGAGTTGCTTTTCACAGCCAGACTGAGTGCTGACGCATGGTTAAATCAAAGCCCTGGAGGTCTGGAGGGAGGGACTGGACTCGGCCTGGGAGGGAAAGGGAATGGAGGCCTTGCTCTGAGGCGTGGTCTCTCCCCTGCACCGCCCACCTCGGGTTACCGGCCCGGCCCGGCAGCCTCACCCCTAATCCATCCACCAGCCTGTAGCTCCGTCTGGCGGCCAGCAGGTTTGGTTCCATGGGCCTAAAACCGCGCTTTAAACCACCCCGCTCGCCAGCGGGGTTGCTCCCATACGTAGGCCCACCCGAGGTGAGGCATGCCGGGAATTGTAGTTTTCCCGGCCCAGCAGGGCCCTCCGCCTGGGGAGGGACCCTAGCCGGAATCCCTCAGCGCGCCGGGAAACGCGCCGCCACGTGACCGGGATGACGCCATGCTCCATTGTGCTCCCAGCAGGGCATGCTGGGAAACGTAGTTGCTGCCCTCTTCCCACGTGGGCGAGACCTGTGTCCGCTTTGCCTAGATAACCGGTCTCACCCTGCAGGAAGCAAGAGTCCAAAATCAGATGTTCTCAGTTGTAGGAGAACCAAAGGATCAAATAACTTCTGAACGTTGGGGAATTAACAGATTTTTGCTAAGGACAATAAAAATGAAAAAAAGCCAGCTTGTTCTTGTAAAAAGGAACCCCACTCGGCCCTCTTTGATGATGATCAGGTGGACAGTAAACCACACAAAAGCTATTCTCTAATTTTCTGTCTCTTCAACATAAATTATGACACCTGTTGACAGGTAAATGAAGCTAGAAGAGGGAGGGAGGGAGGGAGGGAGGGAGGGGAATGAGAATAAAAATCATGTTTCTCAGTTTTGCCGTAAAAGTATTTACACTCTATGAAAAACCTATAGTTAAAGAACGTGATATTCAACTTCGCTGGAGTTTTGGGGCACTTTGTAACACCCTCAGGGCAATTAAAGTCCTTCCTTCTGGCTGATAACCCAGCTCTCCAATAAACCTAGTCAAATCCGACATGCCTTCTCATTTATTTAGCAGGTGTCTTGACTGAATTAATTATACTATTCTGATTCTTGATTTTTGTGATGATTGGAGCTGCCTGAGCTGGGAAGAATGTCTGCCCATCAAGCCACAGCTGTTAAGACATAGTCATAAGACTGTGTGACTTATCCATGGAAAATGTTAGTTCAAATAACACTTTAAACATGAAAAGTGAAAAGGCATTTTGAAGCATCAGTGCAAAAACAAAGCTGATAATTTTCAGTGTATATACAGTTGTTCTTCCAATCGCCTACGATGTTTCTGTGGAACTAACAGATGGGCACGTGTAAGCACGCCACAGAAAACCCTCAGGCTTGGGTGGTTTACCTTCTCCAGTCTCCCCATTAAGCAGTAGTCGGAGAGCTAAATCGAATAAATGTGGTTCTTTCCACCTCTTGTCTCCTATCCATCCTCTGGCAAATGAGGATTTAAGTGAAATAATTACGAAGTCAGAGAAATGAATTTAAAATCTTCAATATTGAAAATAAATTAACACCCAGATATTCAGTTTCTGTTTCACTGAAAATTCATTACCTTCAACATCTAATTTTGTGGGTTTGGTGAATATTTTTGTTTGTTTTGGGTGGTTTGTTTTTCAGAGTCATGATAATATAGTCTGGGTTTGCCTTGAACTCGAAAATTCTGCTGCCTCAGCTTCCCAAATGATAGTATTTCAAACATGTGCTGCCAAACTTAGCTTCTGGTTTCATGTTTGACGAAATTGGACACACTTTTTTCTTTCTGGTTTCCTTCCTGATTCTCAACTAATTTTTAAAATGCTGACTCCATTCATAAAACAAGGTAGTTCTATTCATGGAAACCATGGCATTCCACGTGGACCACATACTATCTCACCACAACACTGAAATTGCCTCCTACCTGGTTTTCAATGTACCCTTCATAGTTACTTGGGTGATCTTTTTTTAAGTCTGATCATCTCAGTCTCCACTTGATACCATTTAATACTTCCACTCATTGGACTTATACTTTCCCACCAAAAAGGATGAAGCTCATACTGCTTATGGTTTCAACCTCACCCACTAGCCCCTCTGGCCCTATTCCCATAACTCAGGGCTTTGAGCACAGTCTGCCTTTGTGACTTATTTCTCTTCTTCTAAGATGATATTCTCTACCCATTCTTAATTGCAGTGTATTTTGTCTCTTGTTAATGAAGTTCTTAATTAGTCTAGAAAATAAAAAAACCGAAGATATAGAGGAAGATGCTGAGAGAATGGAGAGAAGGAGCAAGCCACAGCCACACCTTACCTCCGTAGAGTCTCAGCAGACAAGAGAGCAAGTTGCTGTTCTCCCTGCTTATATCCTGTTACCTCACTTCCTGTCTGTCTGTACAGACCTCCAGATCTCTATGGTTAGCTAGTGGCAAGCTCCATTCTCTGACGTTTAGGCAAGCTTTATTTGTACAAGCAAGATACCGCCACAGTTTCCTTTTAAGTAGACTTAAGCTATTTGAGCAAGGGAATTTTGTCTTTACAATTCTTCTTCTTCTTCTTCTTCTTCTTCTTCTTCTTCTTCTTCTTCTTCTTCTTCTCTCTCTCTCTCTCTCTCTCTCTCTCTGTGTGTGTGTGTGTGTGTGTGTGTGTATGGGGGGGTGCTTACATGTAGCATATGGGACAGCACCTTGGCTGCAAAGCCCAGTGACGAGTACAGTAGAGTTCAATTCCAAGGTCCTTGTGGTTGAAGGAGAAAACTGGTTGTCCTCTGACTTCTCTGTGAAAAAACACATATAAGCACAGAGAGTTCTTTAAAGTGAGTGAGTAACCTCATGAGTTTTAAATGCTTTTATTAGAAGAAAGCATTGTTTTATTCTTTTGACTACCTATTCTTTGACTTTAGGCTGGGAAAAGCCATCTGCTTTCTTCCAGAGATGTCACTGATTTGGCAGTGTTACAGTCACAAAACAACAGCAAAATTCCCTCCAACACTTTCCCTCAGATTGAATTGTATTCTTTGGACAAAGAAATGCAAACACAGAAATCAAATAATTCATATCTTGTGCAAGTTTCTCACTTTATGTAAGCTATCCAGATCTTTTGGTTTGTATCGGCATTGGGTATAGACATTAGGACTTGGAGGAATCTTTAACTGTTAGTGAACCAGCAAATCAACCCCAGGCTTCAAATATAGACCTGTGAGTTGAACTGTCCAACAGTTATAGTGGTCTTATGAGGGCTTTATCCCTTAGCTCCACCAATTAAGTTTTGTGGTCATGCAGGTTTTCTTTTGTTTTTATAAGTAAAGTCATGCTATAGCAACATTGCTACAGCTATTTTGCATTTTGAAGATTGAAGTACTTCCTTAGTTTGGGTATATTGACATAGTCATCAAAGGAAAAAACAGAGGCCTGTAAAATGGTTGAGCAAATAAAGGTATCTTCTGCCAAGCCTGATGACCTGAGTTTGGCCCCCAGACCTCACATGCTGGAAGGAGAAAACTGTATGACACAAGTAATAAAAACCCAGAAACAGATATTGGGGTTCAAGCTGAAGATCAGAAAAGTAAAGTAGCCAGCCATTAGTTCTTACCTCTACCAAGGCTGAAATGGAGATCCTGACTTCCCTGTGACTGGAAACTGAGTCTCACATGAGACCCTTTGCTTCTTCATTAAATGCCTCTCTAGGCTGGGATTAAAGGTGTGAGCTCTTGTCGCGTCTGCTGCGCGGCCTGTGTCCGAGAACGTGCGGAGGGTGTCGGGGATTGACAACACAGAGACTCGTTCAATGATGTAAAGAAAACTTTAAACAGGCTCCAAAAAGGTTCAAGAAAACCTCCTAAGAAAAGCTCCCACCAGAGAAGCTTCTGCTCTCTCCTCTCCCCTGGCTGGTTCTGCTCTGCCCCCAGAAGTGGATGTGGGTGGGTCTGAAGATGCGGTTAGTCTTTGGACAAGGTCGAGGTCAGGGCGGTTTCCGTGGGAAGGCCTTTTCCAGGAACTTATTGCCCTGGGCATTGTATCGTTTTTAGTAAACATGTTTTTACTAAACATTGTCTTACAGCTGCCTACTCCCAGGCAGAAGGGGAAGTGGGTCTCTGCTCAAGGTCTGGTGTTCCCACAAGCTCTTTTTCTCTTTTTGACTAATTTACTATCATGTAGCCCTGGGTGACCTTAAACTCACAGAGATCCATCTGCCTCTGTCCCATGAGTCCTGGGATTAAAGGTGTGTGCCACTACTGCCCAGCTTCTATGGATGTGGAAAGCTTTGCATTCTGATCTCCAGACATGCTTTATTAGATCATAAATAATGTATCACCACAGAACTGACTCCAGCAAGTTGTCTTATCATATCAACATGCACACTGTGTTCCGTGTGTGACTCCTCCATATGCACAAAAATCAATTAATAAATGTAATAAAAGGGAGGTATAGGAGTGCTGTTTAAATTGCTTCACATACATCAGCTGCCCAATATTTCAGAATGAATAAAACCAGTGACATTGGGAAGTCTTTTTGTTGTTTTGTTTCCATATGATTTTCAATTATGTGACCATTATTGGAAAGATTATTCCTCCCCTATTGAATTTCCTTGTACCTTAAAAAGTCACTTGAACCTAGCTGAATGATCTATTTCCTGATTCCTCTGGCTCACTGATCTATGTGTTCATCTCTTTGACTGAACTACACTGCTTCTGATTAGTATAGTACAAAGTTGGTTTTGAACTTTAGTAATGTTTCTTTCATGAATGTGGGTGCCTTTGTATTTGGGGCATAAATGCTCAGAATTGAGACTTCAACTTGATGGACTTTTCCTGTGATTAATATGAAATGTCATTCTTCATCTCTTTTGATTGATTTTAATTTGAAATTTAATTTGTTAGATATTAGGATTGCTACGCCAGTTTGTTCCTTGGGTCTGTTTTATTGGAAAATCTTTTCCCAACGTTTTACTCTTAAATAACGTCTGTCTTTGATATTGAGATGTGTTTCTAGTATGCAGCAGAAGGATGGGTTCTGTCTTCGTATACATTCTGTTAGTCTGTGTCTTTTTATAGGCAGGTTGAGACCATTGACATTAAGGGATATTAATGACCATTGATTGTTGATTCTTGTTTGTTTTGGATTCATTGGTGGTGGTGTTATTGTGTGTGGGTTTCTCTCCCTTTTTCTTTTGGTGTTTGGTAAAGTGGAATTATCTATTGCCTATGTCTTTGTGAGTGTAGTTTTCTTTGTTGGGTTCTAGTTTTCCTCCCAGTATTTTCTGTAGGGCTGGATTTGTGGATATGTATTGTTTAAATCTGGTTTTGTCATGGAATATCTTGTTTTTTCCATCTATGGTAATCGAAAGCTTTGCTGGGTATGATAGTCTGGGCTGGCATCCTTGTTCCCTTAGCAT